AAAACTTAGAACAAAAAATTTGGAATTAGTACAAAAAATTGTTTTATTGAACAATATATCGTTTGCAAAAATGATCCTATTTATTTTGTGTGTTTTTTAAATTAATTTACTTACATATTTATTCATTTTGGGGACATTGTATGTATGACATGTATTCCTGAACTTTTGTCCAGTTGTCCCTGTTAATTTACTTATTTATTTTGATTGTTGTTATGTTTTGACAAGTACTGTCGAATAAACAACATTTGCATATTCATTTGTTGTAATACATGTCCAGAGGGGATTTTTAATTCTCTAACCAGGACTTCTGATAGTAGCAGTGAATGGCTGTATGGCATTTGAGGCTTAAGCGCTGTCTCTCTTCATCTGGGTTATAGAGTGTAGTACCATCTTTTCCCACAATGTGGTGGTGGCACACTATTTCTTTAGACTGGGATTCACCATTGCCTTTGTTTTTCTCTCTTCAAGCCCATCCACTTAACTTACTATACCGACATCCCTTCATCCTCTAACAAAGTCACTCTTTTCTATGTACTGCAACACAAGCCTCTGCAACTTGCTAGGCGTGTCTGTCATTCAAACCAAATGCTGCAAATCATACTTATATATACTTACGTATATTCTTCTGTTGTAACTTTTCATATTTTCTTTCCATGAATGTTATGAAGATCAAACTAGTTTAGGTCACAACATAGTCATTTTCACACAAGCTCTTTGGCCTGTCGATCCAAAGTGTCTGCATGGAGAAAGATCTATGACCTGTTTTAAATGCCAAGACACATATGGAGCAGCAAACACAGAGCCTGAATTATTTTGTTCAGTTTATCTTCAGTCCTGTTATCTCTACTAAATGACTGCAGGTATGAACTCGAGATGAGGAGAGTGAGGTCCTCACCAATGCACAGTGTTGGGCAGTAAGGCATTACTAGTAATAATATTATAGTAATAACATTACTTTACCCAGTGACTAGTAGTGTAACATTTAAGTAATAATATTTCAGTTACCCCCCCAAAAAATAATTCACAACCTTAGTTTTGTTGGCACCCCTCTACTGAGTTGAAATCCAACAATCAAATTACATTTAAAATTTTATAACAAAAAGTTTATAATAAAAGTTACTTTAAATAAGGGGCAGAATATCATTAGAGAAAATTTGATGGTTATTGTGATTTTGACACCCCAGGTGCTCTGTTTGCAATCATATTTCTCCTTTGGATTAGGCTGTTGGCCTGGTTTCAAACTCCAGGACACTATAAAATAAATCCACAAGCAAACAGAAGAGTTACACCATTAGAGTACATTCCACCTTAAAATATGCCTATGCTAAGCACCTGTACCTGTACTGTACTGTGTCTATTATTAAAAGTAAGTAAAAGTCTTTCCACCACTGTTCAAAGGGGATAGTGTCCTTTGCTTCATCCTGATTTGATGTTTGACTTTGTACATTACTGAATGTTGTCTGTCAGGACTCTGTTATAAAGTATTGTGCCATTGTTCGTTATGACCATATCAAAGACTGTAGTTTCCTCCCTCCTGTAACTGTTTGGCCCTTAACAAGGGCAGATCTGAAATATAGTTAGGGTGGCCGACTTTAAAGTGGGCATGGAACAGCCTAATTTTGTCCTGTTTTGTACAGAATTTAATGTTTGAATATTTTTTAAAAGGATTTTATATGTAAAACGACTACATGTTCAATGACAATAGATTTGGGTATTAATGTATGCTTTAGCTGTGGCTCACAGCCATATGGCAAAATATGGTAAAAGACAAAGCTAAAAGAGATTTTGAGGAGATTCCCAGAAACCCAATGGTCTACCCATTCCAGCCAGTGAAATTTTGAAATAAAACAATTCATTATTTCTGATGGGAAATATTCATGTGGGGCTTTTCCAAGCAAATATTGATATATGTGATTGTATGTGTGATTAGAGGTGGCAGATATGTATGCTGATTTAATTGCAAACAAATCGAAGATATTTGAACTCAAAAGGTGTCATTAGAAATAAATAAATGTAATGATTTCCCAATCTTCAGCCATCTTCCAAATACATTTTCATTGAACTTAAGCCTTTAAAATGTGGCCATAAATTAGATTCAGTTTGTAACATGTTATTTTCTAAACTTAATCTAAATGAATGTGTTAAATTTGATAGCGAAACTGGCGTGGCCAGGCATTTTTATGGGTGGCAGCTGCCACCCCATGTCACTCCAATGACACAGTGATTATGGTGGCTTTGCTCAATTTTCAGTACTCGACTAAAAAAAGCTTATGTGAAATTGATAAATGTAAATTGCTCAGATTGGATATTTGGTGGACCTCCTGTCTGAGTGGCAACACTGCTAACCAGTGCGCCACCATGCTGTGCTTACATGTTACTGTTTTCTAATCACCAAATGATGGTGTCCTTTAATCAGAAGACCAGAGAAAGATGGTCACTGGTAAAGGCTGCAAAAGCTGCATATCAGAAATGTCCCTCCTGGTCTGTAATTTATATGTACATGTTCAATTCAATTCAATTTTATTTGTATAGCGCCAATTCATAACAGAAGTTATCTCAGGACATATTGAAGTTAATGGCGCCTTTTACAGTAATGATCTTTCTATTGCATTATCTAATGTGACACTGTTTTGTTTGGGCCTTGTGGAACTATTCAAAGGTTTATGTGCACCTTTTCATAGAGGTAGACTATCCCGTGTTTGTGTAGATCATTTAGTGTGCCCCCTGATGCTGACGGTACGGCTGTGGCAAATGGCAGAGGACATGCTGTAAAGCTGTGTATGCCCCTAACTCACAGGGATTTCCAGAAACGGGGTCTCTGAGTACTGATCGATCAGGCAATGCTGGTGGAGAGTAATTAAGTAAATTTCCTCAAAATACTATATAGTATTTCCATTTTATTTTACTTTATACTTCTACGCCATTACATTTTGGAAGCCAATATCATACATTTTACTCAACTACATTTATTTGACAACATACTATTTACTTTGAAGATTTACCTTATGAATGCAAAACATAAATCAACTAACGTACATCATAATTTCACATGGATGAAACTACCCAGTAGTATATGACGTGGCCTCACCTTTATCCCCACCGGGGGGTCGCCAAAGCTTTGCTTTCCTTTAAAGTTCTCTAAAACTAAAGTGCATCTGACCAGCCTGAATGGCTATGTGTTATTGTAGCTAGCAAGCTACTCTTTTTATGCAGAAAAACATCTAAGATAATGGGTCAAAGAACACATTAAAGGACCAGTGTGTAGGATTTAGTGGCATCCAACACTGTAGTTGCAGAATGCCACTCTCTCCCTTCACCTGCCCATTATAAGTGCAAAGGAGAAACTACAGTGGTTGAGAAACTGTGATATACAACAAAACACAACAGCCGCAAATAAACAACCTCAAATATCAATAAACCACCAGGGATGTATTTGTTTCTGATTAATATAATCAATCTAATCTAATTAATTAAAAGTCTGGTTTGTACAAGCTGAAAATGTAACCCATTTAAGCATGCAGATCTGTGCAAATATATTTTAGGGTCTTGCTAGCTTGTACATTTTTTTAAAATTGTAAACCAGATGAAGTGAGTACTGTTTAAAGTAGAAAAATGACATCTTCTTTGTCAGTTGTTGTTGTTATTGTTACAACTATGACACATGCTAATAGCAAATTGTTATGAACAAGCTAAAACAAAAGCTGTCTGTATTGAGTTGTTTTTCTTAGTTTGACACATATCCTTAAATCTGTCTATTCTTGTACACTTAGTTACTGCCTGACACAGCAGCCGCTGCTCTCTCTACAGTCACTGTATACAGCAGTGAATTAACAGCAGGGAGCAGCTGAGGGAGGACAACAAAGGACCTTGGTGGTGGTCTGTATAGAGTGGCCTTCTTCTTAAAAGTGTGTTTTGGAAAATAAAGACTTCACATGACTTTTGATAATCAAATGTGAATATTTTTGGTCTTACACTTTACTTATAGCCAGCAAATACTCAGAAGTCCTCCTTAATGTGTTATAGTATCATACAGTGGCTAATAACCTTGTACAGTACAAGTACAGTACAGTACAGACTATAGCGTATTATTGATGTTTATAAGACATTATTCCATTTTAGAAATGTAGAATTTATAGTCATATGTTATAATATGTTGGAGTCTTTATAACATTATAACTATAACTGTCTTTATAACTGTATAGCTGTGTAACCCAGGACTCAGCTTCACCTTTCAAACACTGTTGTCACTTTGGCATTTGGATATAAAGTATTATATACACGAACCATTGGCAGTATATGATATGAACTTATAATACATTATTATTCCAAACATGTATAAAAAGCTTTATAACGCCTTATAAATGCATAATGTCTAATGAATTTGCTTAGAATACATTATAAACATGACAAAAGTGTCACCAAAGTTCCTAGAACAACAAGATCAGTGATGAAGGGGTAACCTGATAGCTCACCTAGTAGAGTTGGCTCGAGTCATACTTCCAATGATTCCAGTCCAACCTTATATTATACAATATATTGTCAATTATATTGCTCCGTGTCAACGCCTACTGCGCATGTCTGTGAAAGGGCCAACGTCACGCTGTGGACTGCCATCCTTGGGATTACCGAAACTAACGTTAACGTTACTGTGTGCGCGTCTAAACAAGGTAAGTATGCTGCTGAGGTTCACTAACAAGTGTGATTAATTGTTAAATGTGCTTCATTTCGAATTGCTAACTTATTTTAAGTCACCTTTAGTGTTGGTTATCATTTAATGTAAATTTGTCAGCTAACTGGGTATTTTACGTTATAGACTGTAATTGTAAAAGTCAGCTAGCTAGCTAACAGTTAATGTAGCTAATGTGGCTAATATACCCTTTTCCCGGCACATGTATCACTTGTCAAGGAAGAACTGTTTTTTTTTTAATTGTTAGAAAATGATCATTTGAACAATAATGATTAACTGTAGATCTCTGTTGTATGAATTGCAGCCACACATATTAAAGACAAACAGGCTATAGTGACAGCGCCCCCAGCTGGCAGATGAAACAGGATGACTGCACTGCCGTTCCCCTGCCCTGTACATCTGGGTCTTGTTACCATGGGAGGCTTACATGCTCAATTGCACAAATACACTATAGAGAGAAATCTGAGCAAGCTGGAGAAACTGCTGAAGAAGGGTATGTAACTTAGTAACAGTAATAGTACTAGTATATTGTAATTGTACCAATAATACATCTAGGTTGGCATCATGCAAATAGAGATGAATTCAATAGTAAAATAAATACTCACACTTCAAATTGCAAACAACAACAACAACAACATGGTGTCAGTGATTTCTGGTGTGTTACAGATGTTGATGTGAACTGTGTGAATCACTTGGGTCAGACTGCGCTGTTCTGCGCTGCTCTGTCGGGCCAAGTGAAGGTGACAGAGCTTTTGCTGCATTATGGAGCCGACCCCAACCAGTAAGTCTGGGCCTGGCACTCATTCTAACAAAGAGCTGGTACATTCTCAAAGGGCTTGTGATGATGACTGATTTTGTTTTAAAAAAGCAACTTTGTAATTGTAAGAAAAAACAGTGTCTACATGAAATTTCTGATGACTTGGGACTCTGGGTCGATCTTGAGTCATAAATCTGATGTACTCAACTATTCAATTTGAAACTCAGAGAATGATAGCGATCATGTGACAGAATATTATTGATGTATAAACAAATGTCTTGTAGTCGCTGTGAAGACTGGAGCACACCAGTTCATGCAGGTGTGGTCTCCTGTAACCCTTCAGTGGTGAGCAGCTTGCTGGATGCTGGAGGAGACCTAAGAGTCCATGATAGGGAAGGCAGGACACCGTTTGACTGGCTCAGGGCTGCAAATCAGGAAGATAGTGCCAGGGTAAGTTGAGTGGAATGTGTCAGTGTTCTCTCTCTCTCTTTCTGGGTGTCGTTGAAGTGTGACCTGCACAATTGCAACAACAGTGCAACCACTGTTTGACTGTTTAAAAGGTTAAGGGACTAACAGACAGCTTTTTAAAAAAATGTCAAAATTAAAGCAGCACAGGCTGAGATGTTATGATCTTTAATATTGGTCTACACACTTCCACGCTTAATACAACGTGATACCATCTTTCATTAGGCACTCCCTGTTTGGTAAAAAGCCACATTTAGGCAGGGTTATAAACTGTCCAAGCACACCATCAGAATTTTTTTCTGTAAGGTGTGTTCTTCCTGGCTGCCAGGTGAATTTACACGTCACATTAGCTGTGCAACTGTTATGTCTGAATTATGTTTGCAGTCAAGCAGCCAATGTGTACCTGTAACTGTACAGATTCTAGCTGTAAGCTTGCTAGCAGTGTATGGACTGACAAACTCAGCTTATACAACATCAGTTGATCCTGGATCAGGGCTTTGTTATGTTCTTGCAAATTATAATCATTTAAAATTAGGAAGAGGTCAAAATACCCACCAAAACCACAATGTCATATACGCACATAATGCACTATGCACACCAGTGGGAAACAGTTTTCTCCATTGAGGAAGACAATGTGATGGAAAAAGGAGCAAAGCAGTCTTACCCCAAGAGCCACAATATAAGAAAAGAATGAAAAGCCGTTAAAGAAACAGCATAAAAAGGCAATGGTATGGGAAAGAGCCCCCCTGGCAGAAATGCGGACTGTGCTCAAGAAGAGGCTTGTAATCTTGAACAGCACCGGAGGTGGACGAAGGAAAGGGCTTGGAAACAAACTGCGTTTATCAGCAACTTATTTAGGTTCAGCACCTCTGGCAGAGATGCAGTGAACAACCTGTCCAAAGGAGGGAGTGGACAAGTACCTGTACAGCACCATCAGCAACCCCAGCAGGGACTAAGGCCTGGGAAAGTCTATGAAAGTGGTTGGACCCAAATGAGAGCCAACCAAGGGGATCCACTCCCACATTGGGGAAGCAGGTGAACAATTTTAGGTTCCTGGGAATCAACATCACATCTCATCTCATCTCACATCTCCACCCTGGTTAAGAAAGCAAACAAACAATTGTATTTATTAAGGAAACTTAAGCCTAACTAACGTTAGTTACATTAGTTGCTGTGTCATTGTTCACTCTATGTCATGTAATTTGTCATGGTATTGAATGCAATATGCAGGCAAATTAGACTAATCAATGTTTTGTTAAGACCTCAAACTCAAACTGCTTCTATCTCGTTAGATGCAGAACTTCCTGGAGAGCTGCATGTCCTCTATGCAGCAGCTGTGTCAGAGCTCAGCCACGAGGAAGCTCTATTGTAGCCAGGCCCACATCTCAACCTCCATCTTGTTACAGCCTTTATCTCTGCTGGATCGCATAAAATCACGGTATGGTGCACAAAACACCATATTGATCATACATCTTTACAACATCACATTATTTCATGTTTAATTTCTTTTTGCTTTCTTTGATGAATTACCTACCCCAAGTATCCACTTTTAATGTTCAGCTAGAATTTAAGCTTTCTTGGAAAGCACTTTTTAGAGTAAATGAAGTGCAGAATAAAACCTGCAAAGGAAACCAAGCAGGCAGTTCAACAAGTGTCTTAATTGAGCCTATAGGCCTCTATAATAAATTAGTGGAGACTACCATCTATACACTTTTTTCTGAGTATTCTAATTAAGGTTCTGTTCCATTCAGGTCAGACAGAGTCAGGGTGCTGCATGTTGACTTACTGGAAAGGCTCTGCTACACTAAATAGAACTGAATCTTAATTAGTATAATTGCTAACACATTTGATTACCATACTATTTCATGGCAAAATGGCTACTGTGAACTTCTCCACTCACACATATCAAAGTGTAACTACACCCTTCAGTTCCAAAAGCTCCCTCCCTCAACAAATTAAATCAAAATCATCAGAGACCTGCAAAGGACAGTGACTTTTCTCTTAACAGACCGCAGTGATTGAAAGACTGACCACAGCAGTCTAGCAGCAACAGTGAGCTGGTAGTCAGCTAACCAGCCATATGCAGCTGCTGTCAGACTCTCCGTGTCCGTACTGGAAACACTCACACACTCATTAGTAAGAAGCATATTCACAGCGGTTCGTAAAGGTTTCCGTGGTATCTGTGTTGTAGCTGAGCTAACGACTTTGTTGTAGGTAAGCTAACTGCTCAGAGAGGCTAACTTCCTGTATGTGTGTCCGTGGGATTGAGGTAAAGATTGCAGTCTGGTGCTTCTACAGCCGTCTAAAGCACAAATCCAAACCGAGCATGGTCAAATCAATGTCAGCATTGGCCTTTCGAGGTTCGGGGTGATTTTAAACAATAGATTGCATGTTGCGATTTTGACATCTTCAACCAACAAAATGCAACAGCAGCATTGATTTCATCACAGCACAGTCGTATAATTCAGATTATGGCTCACATTTTATTTTGGAGTACCTTTTTAAAGGAGTTCGGTCTAGAACTGCTCTATTTGAAAAGTGTCC